ACGGAAAAAAAAAAAAAAAAAAAAAAAAAAAAAAAAAAGTCAAATTGAAATGTAACTCCCAAACAGCCAACTGATGAATACATTATCAAAAACGAATCATCAATAAATGCTTATCAACAAAGAACTAGGCAACGACATGGATACTGTCCTTAAAATCATGGTTAAATTTTACCGAGTGTCCATAGTGAACATTATAAGCACATAAAAATACTGCTTTTTAAGCTTAGAAACATGAAAAGTTTGTGTTAATTCCTCCAAAGGCTAGTTACTGTTTTGTGCTAAAAGAAAGCCTAAGAGGACTGACTCTTAATTAAGAAGTGAACTATCAAGAGGAATACCTGATAAATGCACTGATCTGTAAACACCTATATCTTCCTAGGCTGACTCTTTTTTTATAAGTGAACATACCCCCAAAAGCCATACTCAAATGGGAATCCTTAAAGACCAGTAACTAAGAGAGGTCAGTGAAAAAATTATATTTAAAATTCCTGGGCCAGCCCGGTGGCGCACTGGAGAGTGCGCCGCTTGAGAGCGCGGTGGTGCTCCCGCCGAGGGTTCGGATCCCATGTGGAGACCGGTTCCTGCTCACTGGCTGAGCGCAGTGCGGGCGCAACACTGAGGGTTGCGATCCCGTTACTGGTCAGTAAAAAAAAAAAAAGACAAAAAAAAAAAAAAATCCCTAAACATTTGTCCAAAGGTGATTTTTAAAAGCCTCAGGTCACCTTAGAAGCAGTTAACATGCCTTTCTTTAAAACTGAAATTAGGAAACTGACTTTTTATTAATCTACTATGTCACCGAAAAAAAATTTCTCTCTTGAAACATTGTTTTTTATCACAACTCACCATATTAGAATAGCAGGCAATACGATTTATATATAGTTTTTCAATGATTTCTTTAGGAATTAAAATTTCTTCAGACTTTGCATAATCAGCGATATTTAAAGCTTCCGTGTACTGGCTTATCGAACTCTTCCAATCTTGTTCATGATAAACATCATTTCCTTCATTAAAAAGATTTCTCACAAGTGCATGCAGATATACCTAAAAATAGAAAGTTACTACTTAAAGCCCTTTATAGAACAAGATAAGTAAATTTTAATTTAATTTTTATACCTAAACCTAAAAATAGAAAGTTACTACTTAAAGCCCTTTATAGAACAAGATAAGTAAATTTTAATTTTTATACCTAAGACTTCAGAGGAAACAATTTGACAGAATGCAGCATCGCTTTAAGAAGTTGTGAAACCCAGCCTAAGTCAGTGCTACCTCAGCTAGAGATTTTATTTTGCTTGCTTTTTCAAGAGAAAATTCAATTTCCTATTATTAAGAAAAATACAGCAAAAGCACCTCACAAATATTTTTCCATATCTCCAATTCCATGCCTAGGATAAATAACCATGTGGAAGCCCTGGGTCAAAGAGAACAAACAGTTAAGGGTTTTGACTAGTATTTCCAATTTGCTTTCCAAAAAGGCAGTAATACTTCTAATGGTTGGCTTCACAGCACCCTCATCCCCTGGGTAGTGTGTGCGTATGTGCTTGTGTGTGTGTAAGATCTCTAGCAACTTCTAGGTGTAAAACCGGTATCCTTTTTATTTCCCTGTCTTTAATGGTGAAGTTGAACTTTTCCACATTTTTATGGACCATTTGTATTTCTTCTTTTTTAAACTCTTTGCTTCGGTCATTTACTAATGTGGGGTGAGGAGATGCCAAACCTTTCACTTATCAAGTAAGCATACACATTTTGTAGGTATGTATAAAAGTGTTTTTTTTTTTTTCTTATTTTAAAAAAAGAAATTCTGGGGCTGGTCAGTTAGCTTACTCTGTAGAGTGTGGTGCGGATAACATCAAGGCCAAGGGTTCAAATCCCTGTGCTGGCCAGACATGAGAGAATGAAAAAAGAAATTCTTCTTTTTTTAAAGAATTTTCCTTTTTTTCTTTGATTCTATTTTCTTTTACATTAAAAAAAATTTTTTTATTCTTGTTTCTTCCTTCATGATTTCAATCAGTGCTTTAACATTTTAAAAATCCTTTTCCATCACAAGATTGGATAAATGTTCAACTCTTTTTTGTCTTATTTTATGAATTCATGTTGAAGCTGACTAAATTATTAAAGAAAACTCGACACATCAGCCATTAACAACTGATGTGACTTGTGTCACGCCACTTAACTGCTCTGGACCCCAGTTGTACATGTGTAAAATGAAAGGATTGTTTCAGGTGCTTTCTAGCTCTAAAATTTTGTGGTTCTACATCTGTTTGGAAATAGGGAAGGAGAGAGGGAAGAAAAGAGAGACTGATCCTTTCTTCCTATGCATCAAAAAAGAGGAAAAAAAAAGACTGAAAGAAATAGAGAGGAAGAGGCAGAGAACAGGTGGCGTTTAGAAGCATCAAAACCCTCAGAGACAAAAAGCCACGGGTGAATCCACAGTCAGTGTGTAAAAACCAGAGTCTGAAGTCCACGACCCAACAGCCTAGATTTCCTCCCTGTTTCTAACTCGCAGGTTTATCCACCAGCTCTTCCCTCTTGTTATCCATCCCCCTTTACTGCTCCCAGAACATCTCTTCTAAATGAAAACAGAAGATACTTCGCACACTCCTCAATAAATTCTGTCCCACTTATTTTCTATTTAGTGAGAATCGGGCTAAAAGTAATTTTCAATGGGCTCAAAAGATAAGTTAATTCAAAACTACACTAATAGAAGAAAGAAAATACAAGACAACTGTCCAAGCATGTGCAAAAAAAAAAAGTCCTATATATAAGGGGTTGGCAAACCTTCTCTGTAAATGCCCAGATAGTTAATAGTTTCAGCTTTGCAGGCCATATGGTCTCTGTGGCAACTACCATATGTCACCAAAGCAGCCACAGATAATACGTAACAAATGAGTATGGCTGTGTTGCAATATAACTTAATTTGCAAAAAAGGGAGGCAGGCCAGATTTGGCCCAGAACACCGTAGTTTAACGACCTCTGCTATAGATTACAGTTCACAAACCGCTTGCAGAATTTTCAAGCAGACCTTCCCAGAGTCATTACCGCATATTGTTCCTGTGTTCCTGGATATGACAGCGGTGACCTAAGAAGAAACAAATTCATAGTAATTATCAGGCACCTATCTGGATTTATTCAGCCAGAAGTCACCTTAAAACTGTGACTCGACTAGCTTGCCACTGGTTTAATGCACATTTTAAGACTTCCCTCTCTGTTACTACCATTATTTACATATGACTATAGTCATGAAAAAAGAATCTAAACTACTCTTTAGTATTTTCTTAAGTATAACATGTTCCTTTCAAATCCACTTCTTTTTTTTTTTTTTTGTCTTTTTCCGTGTCCGGCAACGGATCGCAACCCTCAGTGTTGCCCCCGTACCGGACCTGGGACCGGCAACGGGATCGCAACCCTCGGGGTCGCTCCCGCGCCTCGCTCACTGAGCGGGAACCGGTCTGTTGTGGGATCCGAACCCTCGGGCGGGAGCACCGCCGCGCTTCCCAAGCGGCGCACTTATCCAGTGCGCCACCTGGCCGGCCTCAAATCCACTTCTTTTAAAAGAGGGCCTACTTAGGGCCGGCCCGGTGGCTCACTTGGGAGAGTGCGGTGCTGATAAAAGAGGGCCTACTTCTTCAAATGACAAAAAAAGTTAAAAATAAGACCTGGCCCATTGGCTCACTCGGTTAGAGCATGGTGCTGATAACACCAAAGTCAAGGGTTCAGACCCCGGAAATGGCCAGCCGCCAAAAAAAAAAAAAAAAAAAAAAAAAGGTTAAAAATGTACAGAATCACTAATACTATTTGATCCAATTTACTACAGTACAGAAGATAATGTCTCCTTCCCAGGAATGAACAAAAAGGCCCTTCTGTCCAGACATATCCAAACCACGCTGGCTCGTCACTACTGTGCTTCAAGTCCTGTTGGAGACCGAGCTTCTTAACAGAAATATCTGATAGCAAAAGCCCTCCGTGCCAACAGATGTCCGTTTTCAATTACTTTTCATTCATCAGAACTGTTCTTACGAGAACAAAGTCAAGTTCCTCAGTCTAACATTTAGGGGGATAATAAAAGATTTTAGCCCTAAAAATCAGCAACAGTAAGGTCCACTTCAGAACACAAAAATACTCAAATGGGCATGAGTAAAAATATTGCTGGAATAGAAATATGTAATTTCTAACCCAAATTCACAGGACCTATTAAACATAACTAAAGAGTTCTTAATCTCTGCAAAACGTACGCCGCATAAAAAGAGAATTACTCTGTAACGAGAATACAAGGAGTGACTCTGAAGCTCTTACTGTATAAACCGCAGTCCTTCCTTAATGTCCTGCTGCCTTTTCCTTCTCTCCTCGGACGCACTGGACATGTTATCCCGCACATCCACTTTCTAAATGAGCAATCTGGAAAGAAGCAAGGCACAAAATCGCATAAGACACCAATGCTCCTGGACCCCAGTTAAAGCACCCATAATTCGAGGCCTTGTCACACAATTAATTGCAGACATGTCCATATCCCACTTGACCCTAGGGTCTTCAACACCAAGGACCCATGTGAGTTATCTTCGTGGGTCTCTGTCGTCTAGTGTACCATAAGCATACGGTTTTCCCGAACAGTCTCCAGGAAAAGGGCATTTCTCTCCTCCTCGCTTTTCTCCCCTCCTGCAGCTACAGGTTCTGTTTCTTCCCTGTCTATACACACGCGTAAGCTGCCACTAGAACAGTCTCGGCCTTGTTTTGTTTCTGGAAGCTCTCCAGAAATAAAAAGCTTTCACATCCGCTTGCCTCTGAGGGAGTCTGACTTCCTTGTAAGCAGACTCTAAACCTCATACGTAGTTTGTTACACAAACGTCTGAATTAATTCTTGTTAATGCAACAGATAGAATAATGGTTTAAATACAAGGATACTTCAAAAATTTCATGGAAAGATTCCTATTAACTTTTCATTCTATTTTTCCACAAATTTCTTTAAGTCCCCTCGTAAAGTTACTTCAATTGGAATTCTCTGGATAGAATTGGTTTACCCTCAATGTAATACTTGCAAATATCAACACCAGGTCAATTTGTTGATATCTACTCCCACTGATTAATGTTCACCGAATAGTTTCCGACAAGTTAAAGAAGAACCAGAGAATCCTGTGATAAATATCAAAACATCATCTCCCAATGTCCTAAATGAGGGTTTCTCAGCCTCCACATTTTGGGCCAGACAATTCTTCATTGTGGGGGGCTGTCCTGTGCAATGTAGGATGTTAGCAGTGTCTGTGGCCTCTCCTACTATGCCTCACCCCACCCCAATACGCCAGCTATGACAACTAAAAATGTGTCCAGATATTGTTTAATGTCCCTGAGTGCCACAATCACCCTGGTTGAGAACTACTGGGACTTAAAACTAAGAAGACACCTGATCACATGAACCATGTATTTGGAACTAGGTGACAGAAAGGAAAATTCCACCCAGGTTTCAAGTACATAGCTGAAATATTTTTAGTTTCACTATTGCTTACCATTTTCAGTTTTACTTTTAAATCTACATTTTTCAAAGTATATTAGGGGAATGGAGGTTGAAACGCTCCCAAAGGGTGAACACTGATACTAATCTTTCATCTCTTAAATACTGTCAATTCTAAATGTTTTTATCTTCTGCTTAAAGTTGGTGCTGTACTGAAGTGTTTACATGGTAAAGGATATGATGTCTGGGATTTACTTTAAAATACTCCAGCAGATAACAAAAGGGGGGTGGGGAAGCGGGAATAAGAGGGCAGAATGCTGGTGACTATACAAGCGGGTGGTGGGTGCAGGGGCATCTTCATACTATTCTCTCCGCTGTGTATTTTGAAATTTTCCAAAGTAAAAAGTTTAAAAATCCATGAGACTAAAGTAAAATGGCACTATTTCTGAAATTTGCTTTTAAAGTAGTTTAGCTGATCACTTGATGATTTCCTAGAATGAAAAAAAAAAATAGTTTAGCGAAAAGGGTGGTGGTGGATGGGTGGAAATGAGACAAGAGTGCCAGACATTTGGATAACTGTTCCAGCTGGGTGATGGGGGTGTGAGTCCATTCTCCTCTCCTATCTACTTGTCCACGTATGACCATTCCCTTAATATAAGGTGTTTTTTTTCATACTTGTACTTACTAAGTTATTTAAGGAGGTGCTATTTGTAAGAGAAAAAGATTAAAAATTAACTCAATGTCTATAAAAAAGGAAATGCCTGAATAAATTGTGCTGGCCAAAAAAAAAAAAAAAAAACAGGGTTAATATAAAAGTGCCCATAATAGGACTCTGTTTTGTTTTATAAAAATTAGTAGGGTAGGTGTATATACAGTATCTACATTTGCTTGTGCATACATGAAATGGCTCTAGAAAGAACCATGGGAAACTTGCAGTAGTGGAAAACTGGGGGCTGGAGCAGGGGTGGGACCATGTCTTTTCACGGTATACCTTTGAAACTTTTTTTTGAGTATGTAAATGAATTACCTCTAGACAAAAATTAAAGTATTAATATAAAGCCGATGTAGCCTCTGAGCCCTGTCTTAGAAAAATGACTTAAAGGACCACCAGGCTTTTTTTCTGTTTTATTTAGAGCAGGGCCAATTTATTTAGAGTCAGAAATTCAGAGCTCAGACTTGTGGTCAGTATAGCAGAATAGACGGTCCCCAGGGTCACTCTCTCCCACAGCCAACCAATTTACAACTATTAAAAAGCAACAACAGCCAAACTGGGGCCGCTAGAGCTCAGAGGAAGAAGAGGAGAGACCTACAGAGCTCATGAAGGCAGGAGAAGCCACGACGAGAGAAAGGACCAGTCTGACCATTTCAAGTCCCGACCACTTCAAGCCTGGCCCAGGTGAGCACATGGAGCAAGAGCTGACAAACACCTCAGCTGTGCGCTTTTTGTGACGTTGCTTGGAGACTACAGGGGAGAAGAGGGCCTTGGTGGCCCCCAGGCCAGCAAGACCACTAACAGGACTCCCGTGGACACACACAGGAGCGAGGAGCCACAGCAACTGGAGGAAAGAGCCGCTCAGAGGCCAGTGAGTCATCGCAAGGGAACTGCGCATGGCCCATCCCATGGGAAGGGTATGGAGCACAGGGGTGGGGGAAACGGGCCCACCGTGGGAACACTGGGGCATACAATGGACAGCTGATCTGCCCCCCAATCAGCACAGGACCACTCAGTGGAGATTAGTCAGGAATACAGAACTGCACCATGTGTAGTTTGCTGAAAAGACTCATGCCCAGACCAGAGTTTCCACCACTGGGGCATACAATGGACAGCTGATCTGCCCCCCAATCAGCACAGGACCACTCAGTGGAGACTAGTCAGGAATACAGAACTGCACCATGTGTAGTTTGCTGAAAAGACTCATGCCCAGACCAGAGTTTCCACACGACCCAGGTGTACCGGACCTCACAAGACCCTGAAGTGAATACAAGGTCAACAATTAAACCCTGAGCTGCACAAAAAGCCTTCCCCAGGGAATCAGGAGCAAAGCAGCAATTTAGTTCAACCACAGAGCTCAAGAGCTGGTCCCCACAGGAAGTTCCCCCATTTTAGAAATAAGCAAAGGACAACAAATTAGTTCTAGTGCAGTGTTTAAGTGGTGGGAACAGCAAATAATCCAACACAGAACTGAAAGAAAACACAAAATACCCACAGACCAGAGACAAAGTTCTGATATTAACCAGTAAAGGTCTAACACCACCAAAGAACACCTGTAAAACCTGGAAGGACAGGAAGCCCCCCAGCCTCAGCCACGCCCCCCAACATTGGGCATCCATCCCAGCAATGACCACCGAAACGCGGCAAGCCCCTGGACTCCACTGATGGAAGGAGAGGGGTGCCACATGCCTCGACCATGCCCCACCTTCCCTCCTTCCTCCTCCCCACTTACCTCCTTCCCCTTTCCCTCTCTCCGGCTCCCCCGCAACTACTCCACAACAACATCTTAGAATGGAAAAAATAATAACAATTAATTAAAAAGAGATTAAAAAAAAACTTTAGATCTCAAAGGAACCCAGAGCAGCATTTGGGGGTGCACAGGCAGTCAGGCCAGAAGGGCTGGAACAGGAGAGAAGGATGCCTGCAGCCAGAAGCATTCCCATACTCTTCCATGAATGACATACTCTTCTCCCAACCTCTGTCCAGCTGAGGTGGGAATTAGTTTGAAGTTCACTCAAAAGTAAATCTGTTGGCTAAGAAGGGACTCCTGGGTAATGACAATCGGCCAATTCTTAGAGCTAGTTCTCCAGAAAGTGCTAGAAAACCTTGAGCCTTGACCTCCTACAGACAGAGGGTATGTGGCAACGAGCTGACAACTCAAGCAAGTGAGAAGAAAATAAAATGCAGATGGTTTTAACAGCACAAAATACACCACTCTTTCTCAGGTTTAAAGATTTGGGGACATAATTTCAGGCAATATTTAAATATAATATGACAGAGCATTTCATGCTTAGTAGTTTTTTAAAGTTTTTTCCCCAAAATTTTACTATGACAATTTTCTTTTTTTTTTTTTTTGTCTTTTTTGTCTTTTTCCGTGTCCAGCAACGGATCGCAACC